CCCTGCCTTCCTGCCTCATAACCCCTAACCACTTGCATGCCTGCCTGATAGCCCTTAACCACTCACCTGCCTTCCTGATCGCCCCTAACTGCTTGTCTGCCTGATCGCCACTAACTGTTCGCCTGCCTGCCCGATCGCCCCTAGCCACCTCTGCCTTGGCCCCTGCCATGGTGGCTTCATCCAGAATGATATCCAGAATTCCGGAATGACGTCTGGAAGGTCATTCGGCTGTCTGGTCTAATTAGCATATTATGCTTTTATTATTATAGCTAAGTGTATAACATCAATTATTTTCCTGAAAAGTTTATGCATGAGTGGACTGAATTTTTATGAACCAAATCAATTTTTAAATGCACTGGGGGAATTCTAGATATCTAGGAGGACTCAACTTTATGGCAAATTGATTTTTTATGTGAAAAATGCTTTTGTAATAAAAATAAATGGCAATTTTTCTGCTTTTTAAGTTTACTTTTTCATATATTTATTTAGTATGTGTATACCTCACTTATATGATGAATGGGTTTCTAAAGAGTTATATACTACATCAACCAATTTTTCCACAAATATGTAATCATTGATTTCAAGATATATTTTAGAAATAATTTTTCACAATGACAAAACATAGTGGTCTCTGTAAGTCAGTAAAAATATGTAAGAATCAAATATTAACAAAGTTACTGAAACAGTAAGAAGTACTATAAAATTCTAGCTGGTATGTAGAAGATGCTTATTAAATCACTAACCTATCTGCTTCTGGTGTGACATCTTTAGTGCAGGTTATAACAGCTCAGTCTCTAGTAGAGAAATTATTGTACTGTCTATTTCAATTTCCCTCCAGCCCTGTCCTTGGTACTGTTGAGCTGGCTTGCTTGTTTACAACCTTCTGAACCTATACTTGTTTACACTTAGTAGGAAACAGACTACAGCAACATGGAAAAGGGAGAGAATATGAGAGGTGAATAGGAAAACAGCAAGATGGCAAGAGAAACACCCAGGGCAAAGGGTTACCTTGACGATGCAACACACTGTGGGGAAGATACTTAGGCTCATGGTGACAGGAAATAAATCAGGCAACATAGTGACCAAGGGAAACACTTGAGAAACAGCTTTGATTGAACTCAAGTAATTAACAAATTGAAATTAATTTTCACATTTATGAAAGGCACCTTTACCCCAGTGAGCAGCTTACCTCTGCAAGATAGAACTCATCATATTGCCTTCGGAAGCTCTCTCCTTTGTGATAGTTGCTAGCAGCCACTATCACATCCACCGTCACCATGCTCAGGATGAACATGTGGAAAACTGATGACCGCATCATTTGCTGAGGAGGCAAAATAGATGAACTGTTAACAAAGAAATAACCCTTATGATTAAACATAATCGTGTGCCTAGACCTGGACATGCAACATCTTTATGACACACTGCTGTGCAGAGCAGTGCTTCTAAGATAACTTGATGAATGTCAATCACTGCTGAATAGTGTTAGCAAAGGAATCTTTGTCTTCAGGCAGTGCAAAATGGCTAAGGAGGTAGTTTTGGAGACTTTTAGTTGAAAATGGAACAATTATTCATTTCACTTGTATATAGCCCACATCTGAATTTTCATTGGTGAGTTAAGTAGCTTTTATCCTTAATACTGACTATATGAAGAAATTATTTTTAAAAAGCTGATGTCACAAAACAACTGTTGCTTTATTCTGTTAAGGGAAACTGCTACTGAAGATAAAAAACATTTTAGATAGCCTTAGCTGGTTTGGCTCAGTGGATAAAGCATTGGACTGAAGATCGAAGGGTCCCAGGTTCGATTCCTGTCAAGGGCACATGGCTGGGTTGCAGGCTCAATAGCAGGCGTGCAGGGGGCAACCAATCAATGATTCTCTCTCATCATTGATGTTTCTATCTCTCTCTCTCCCTCTCCCTTCCTCTATGAAATCAATAAAAATATAGTTTTAAAAAACACATTTTATATATAATCATAAAACTGGAAAAGTGGGAGAAACCTAAGGTCTATTTTTTATTAGTTCTGTAAATTATTTATTTATTTAAATTATTATTTTTAATAATTTATTTTTAAACCACGTTATTGAGGTATAATTGACATAAAATAAAAAATCAGTATCTACTGAATATATACATTCAATGAGTTTGGAATAAGTATACACCCATGAAACCACCCCCATCAAGGCCATAAACATATGTCACCTTCCAAAGTTCCTCCCACCTCCTTTATTATTATTATTATTATTATTATTATTATTATTAATACTAGTAGTAGTAGTAGTAAGAACACTTAACATAAGATATAGCCTCTTAGCAAATTCTAAGTATACAATAAAGTATTGGTAGCCATAGGTACTATGCTGTATAGAACTTATTTATCTCAAATAACTGAAACTTTATATACTTTATATAAATATTTTTTAAAAAATTATACAATAATAACTGATATTTACATTTATATTCACTACGTGCATGCAGCTGTTGTAGGTGATTTACATAAATTAACTCATTTAATGCTATAACAGCACCAGGAAGTTACTCTAATTTTAGAGGAGGAAACTGAGTCTCAGAGAAGTTAAATAATTATAGAGGAGGAAACTGAATCTCAGAGAAGTTAAATAATTTTAGAGGAGGAAACTGAATCTCAGAGAAGTTAAATAATTTTCTGACTATCACACAAGTATTGAAGGTGGAATCATAATTTTCACCTACGTCTGGTCTAAGTCCACTGCCTCCACTGAAGTGAGATAATTCACATTCAAAAATAATGACTATTATTATAAAGGCTAATATGTATTGAATCCTTACTATGTTCCAGGTCATACTATAATTATGTTTTTCATTTTACATCTTTTATCTCCACCATAGCCCTTACATGATGGGATATATTACTCATTTTTTCCAGTGAGTTTAATGGGATGAAGTCATTTGTCTGAAGTCACACAGCAAGTACACACCAGAGACGGCTCTCGTACCCAAGTCTGTTTAAAGTCCATTACAGCATAGGAAATACAGTCAATAATACTGTAGTAACTATGTATGGGGCCAGAATTCATAGACAGTAATATTATAATAGCTATGTAATAATTATTTTGGGAGACCACTTTATAAAGTACATGATGTCTAAGCATTTTGCTGTACATCTGAAACTGATACAGAATAATACTGAATGTAAACTATAATTGAAAAAAATATTTAAAGTAGGTAGATAGATAAAGGCACACTTTTTTGGTTAAATTATACTTTGTGATCTAAAAATATCTCAAAGATGATGATTATTTTAATGGCATCTTTAGTATAATTCATGAGTATATATAAGGGACACAATGTGGAGAAAAGTCAAAATTAATGAAAAAATATAAATACATGTTTTTTTTAAAGTCCATTCTGAAACAAACTGCCCGCTGTGGGGTAGAGTACACAAAAGGGGAGTAGTGGCAGAAGGCCCTGGGCAGCAGCAGAAGAGAAGCTCATCTGTGGAAAGGAGCTGAGAGCACAACAAGCCACTGCATCACATCCCTCTGTGCCCCCTTCTCCGGGGACCAGCGCCACCATGCTACTCCTTCCCAATGTCACCTCCTTTCTTCTCAGTTCTTAGGGGCACATATCCTTACCCTCTGATGTGACCTGAGAATTCTTCAGTCTTTGCAATTGTAAGAAGCTAACTAAAGCAGAACCTGGGGATGGGAAGAAGAGGACTACCCCTGAGTGCTGTCTCTCTGCATCCACATTCATGTTGTCACGTGGCCTTCAATGCCCTGCAGGGGTCATTAGCAGCTTGGGCTATAAGACAAATTGTGTGGAGTTCCACCACACACAAGCTATGGGGCTCTGGGCTAGTCATTTAAACCTCTGTGTGCCTCTCTGTGCTTCACTTTACTGAATTTTCTCTTCAGTAAAGTGAAGATAATAGTGGCTACTCCAAAGGTTGTCATCAATTTTAAATAAATATTGATAAAGCCCTTAGAATGGTGCTTGCATATTGTAAGTGTTTTATAAAGATATGCAGCAACAATAAGTACCTTTCTGTGAATCAGGTATTTTTCTATTCAGGAATGAGAATTTAATAGGCCAAGGTCAAAGAATTAATTATGTTGTATATTTGACGGAGTCCACAACCAAGCGAGACAAATAAAAGTCATAATGTCTAATACCTTGAGAGATGACAGAGCCATTGGAAAAGCAGACATTTAATAAGGTTTTGTGTCACCATGGCTATTGAGGCATTCCTACATCCATTTGCCTTTTATTTGATTTTAGAGGTAATATAAAATCAAATTCCAGAACTGCCAATCAACATATTTAAATGTATGTCAATTTACTTGCAGAAACTACTGACCTTCGTAACATAGATAAGCAAGTCAGTTGGCAAATTTCTATTCTCATTAGAATTTTCATTGTTATTTAGTTTTTCTTGCATCTTGAGAGGCAAATTCCATAACTATGATTCCCTTTCTATACTCCTTTCATTTCAACTGATTTCCACTTCATTTGCATGACAGAAAAGCCACAACTTTCTCTTTCTATTTCCCTTAGCTCTGGGTTTATGTCTTAAGTAAACTGTTATTACTGAAAGGTCCAAACAAAGCTTTTAGGCATGGCTGTCAAAAATCTTTAAAATTGGTTTTGTAACTGTCACAGCTTCACTTTGGTGCTGTCATTATAATTAGTTTTATTTTGTCTGAATGGCTACATGTCCCAGTTGGTACAGAGTCATTAAAATAATCCCTTGCAATGGATTTTGATATACTGGAATCACCATTGCTTTGCTTTCTCCAAAGTAATAACTTTAAAATGTTAAATAAGAATTAAAGTGATAAGTATGTGCAGTAGCTAAATTTAAATATTCAAACCAGTAACTCCAGCTTTGAGGTTGTTAGTGAAACAGGCCACTTCAACTCAACTCAATTCATCCAATGTGTGAAACGGACTATCGGCTTCTTAATGTAGAAGGGCTGGCAAATTTTAGACTCATGTTTGTATCTGTAGGACAATCCAAATGTATCCTTCAATTTTTTATTTTCTTATAAAAATTAAAGAAAAATGTTTACATTGAGTCAGTGCCACAAAATAGTATTATATAACTTGAGATTTTCCAAACTATTATTTAATATGGATAGAAAATTTATATAGAGATATAAACACATAAATACATATATATGTATATATACACATACTAATACATATTAGTATATATATTAGTATATATTAGTATATATAAAGAAAAGCTTCAAAAGTAGAGTATGCTAATGTGCAAAGTACTGGAAAGCAGGCATTTTTACCAAAGGACAATGTTGCTAGGGCACATGGACTGCAGTTATTAACAGAAAACAATGAAATATAAAGATGCTCGTGCAAAGCAGTGAAGACAGGAAACGTTGGCTGGGACACCGAACAATGAGCAGGTGCTTCGGGAGTAAGGCTCTGAGGAAGGAGCACCCTGACCCCAGCTCTGAGGTGGATGTGCAGCCAACTGTCTGGGCTCCGGGGGAGGGGGGGGTGGAGAATACAGCTGGAAGGATTTGAGAACAGGGCACCGCTGCAGCCTCCAAATAAGTCTCTAGCTTCCACTCCCAAGTGGATCTGCTTTCCAGACTTCGACAAGACCGCCTCAGGAGGAGATATATATATATATTTAGTATAAGACTCTTCAGGTCCTGCATTTGTACTTAAATTTTTAAATTTCTTTTCCATCGCTATGTCATTTTGGTTTATATATATTTTTTAAATCCGAGAAGTTTTGTATATATGTTTACTTTGGCTTTGATCTGAGCATGACTGATTTCTGTATGTGACAGCTGGAATGACCAAATACGAAGAAGAGACAATAATAGAATCATCCCCAAGGCAGCAATATCTGTCAAAAATACTCGGGAGCCTTGCTCCTCAAACTGTGAATCCTGAGCCATCAGTTTCCTGAGAGCATACTGAAAATGCAGGGATCTCAAGCCCCTCCCATACCTACTGAATCAAAGTCTGCATCTTTAAAAAGGCTCCCAATGATTAATGTGCATATTAAAATCTGAGAGTCTACACTGTGGTAGATATTCCTTGGGTTGTAGGTTAAACTGAATGACCTACACAATATTTTTTTAACAAATTCACAACCTCATGACTCTTAATGTCTATAATAACTGAATGGAATATATCAAATACTGGTTAGAATACTAGGGTAACATATTAGGATATACCATCACAAAAATGGATGCCTACCTTCCCCCCTGTCTCTAATTCAAGAGAAAAAAAATTAACTAAACCAGTTTGGCTTCATAAGGAAAAAATTATGTGATGGCTTTTTAACCATTTAGAGGGTATGATGAAGACACCATCACAGACTCTTTCATGAAGCCTAGAAATGAAGCCTCTAGAAACTGGAAAAGGCAAGGAAACAGTTTTTCCCTCTAGAAGTAGTGCAGCCTGTTGATACCAGTGAAACCCACTTGGGACCTGTTAAGCTATAAATAATAAATTGGTATTGCTTTGAGTCACTAAGTTTGTGGTCATCTGTTACAGCAAAAATAGAGAAATAATACAAGTATTGTTTATGATTTAATATGACAACAACATCTTTCACTGATTCAATACTTCTGGCATACTATTACTACCTGTGTGCATGTATTCAATAGCTACCAAACCCGTACAGTGTATCTAAAAAGTGGTAGGTCCTGGGAATACAGGATGAAGTAAAACACTGCCTAATTCCAGGACCACAAATTTGGGCAGATCTAGAGCTTAGGAGGCTGTGGATTTCCTTGTATAAAATAAAAGTCAAAGTGAGTTTCAAAAATGGCATTGTACTGCACCTGGAGGCAGGCTGGGGCGCGTCCCTGAGGCTTGTTGACATCCACAGCTACCAGCTGCCACCCGCCAGCAGCGTCTTCGTGAAACATCTTCAAGGCAGAGAGGGAGATGAGTCAGAGACACTTAGTAAGGAACACTGAGAACTGTAACTTTATATCTCCAACATGTTGTATTTTTTATCAAAGATTTGTTCTCTTATAGATTTATGTTTAAAACCTGAGTCTTTTCAATTATGTTCATCTTAACACTGAAAACTTAAGTGAATAATAGTAACACAAGTGAAATAAGCCAGAAAAAGACACGTATCACATGATTTCACTTATATGTGGAATCTGATGAACAAAATAAACCAAAAAATAAAACAGATCCAGAGACACGGAAGCATGGACTAGACTTGAGGAATCTCAGAGGGAAGGCGGGAGGGTGGGGTAGGAAGAAATGAACCAAAGAGCTTATATGTTTAGATGCATAACCAAGGACACAGACAATAGTGTTATGAAGGCTGGGGAGGGGGTGGAAGTGGGGAGGAAGGGAACAATTGCGGGGGGGATATCTGTAATACTTTCAATAATAAAGATAAATTTAAAAAAATAAAAGTAAAATCTACTGCAACTAAAAAAAAAAGAATGGCAATAGTTTGCATTTATTGAGCACTAATTATGTATCAGGTCCTTTCTGTTTTACATATAGTTTATATATAATTGCCCAAATATTCTTTTCCACAAGACTTCAAAGTAGGCATTTTATCCCCATTATATATATTATTATTACATATTAAATCTGGAAGAAAATGATAGTTAGAATTCCAAAGCATTGTGTCTGTTGTGTTTTTACTAGAAATGGTGAATTTTTATCTTTATTTAGTGGACACCTCTCACTGAGCTAACAGAAAAATGTTCTCAGGATAAGTAATATAAGAATTGAACATGTGGTATAGGGGTTGAGGCTGGTGTTATTTTAATGACAGAAGACTGACGTGTCACTTAATATACTTTGTGAATTATTTTAACTGGGCCAAATTAATCTGCTCAGTAGAAATTTTATGCACATATTAATAAAGGGAAAAAGTAGTTTCTTTTGGCTTAAAATACATAAGTGATGAAATTCAGGACAGGATTCTTAATATCAGATACTAAAATCCGACATCCATTGAATTGGATATTTAGGTTGGTGGATGCCTAGGATATTATCTTACTGCATATTCTACTATCTCAAAAATTAGTCGTCTGTCAATAATACATTCAGCTGGAAGACATTTCCCACTTTCAATTTCTTAGGGGTGTGTGTGTGTGTGTGTGTGTGTGTATGTGTGTGTGTGTTGGGGTGGTAGGGGGATAATGTGAAATTCAGGATTTTATTTTTCTAAGAAAAGACAGTACACGCACTCACTGTTTTATTCCTGCCCGAAATTGCTGTTTCATGCACATAAGTAAACATCTTAGCCATACTTTGTCCTCATGTTAATCTGACTCTGTGTCCAAAAGGGGAATTGTTGATGGAAATATGAGAGGATAACAAAGATCCCATTACCTTTTGTTTTCCTGTTACTTTCTATATTATGGCCTCCATAAAACCTCTGTCTTTAATTTCCCTGTAATTTGTTTCTATGCTGTGACTGAGAGGCAGGTTGAATGAATTTCCTCACTTTAGAATTAATTTTGAAAGGCATTCTTAGTGGTAGAATTAAGCACATCCCTTATGAACAGGCTCATTCCAGAATACATACACTGGTTGAAATGCAAACCTATTAAAGTGCCTTTTAAAGTTCCTGTCAAAATTCTGGGAGTCTCCTTTTAAGGAGAAAAAGACAAAAGACAAAAGGAAAGGACAAAAGCAGTCCTGTCAGTGACTAGCTAAAGCCCCTCTGTACATGCAGCCTGTACTCTCTTGTCATGGCACAAAGGATTCCTGGGGTATGCATTTGCTTTGATCAGTAGCAGACCAATTTTCTCCGTTAAATTATTTCTTTTCCAGTGGACCAAAATCAAATGAATCTTTAATTTTTGTAAAATTGTTCTCTCAGGGTCACTTCTTTGTATGAAATAAAGTGAAGGAAATGCAAACATGTTCCATTTCTCTCGAGTCCCCCGGATTATGAAACAACGTTTAGCTTGGTTAATATACCAGCAGCTCTGTGACATAGGTGATGGGGTATCTCAAAACAGGGATCCTTAGGGACTCAAGTCCTTAGGGGAGAATGGCAGGGGCTGCCAGCTGTCCCTCCATCTCTCTTCTCTCTGTCTTCCAAAGTAAGAAAATTTTTATGAGATCACTAAGCCACACACACGAAATAAGGTTTCCTTTTTTGAAACTTATCTTAACCATGTAATTACATGCTAGCCTATGAGAATTAAGCATAAATGTTCTATTTTTTTTTCTTCCAGCCTTTTGGAATATGGATGTGAGGGTTAAAGATATAGCAGCCAACTCAGTCTATGAGGCAACTTTGGGATGGAGACTATGCAAGGTGGAGCAAAAAGTGCAAGGAGTTAGGATACGCGGCAATGAAGACTACCACATCAATTCCAAATGACCTCTTCAAACTTGACATGAGAGAGAAATATCTATCTATCATCTATCTATCTATCTATCATCTATCTATCTATCTATCTATCTATCTATCTATCTATCTATCTATCCATCCATCCTAGAGGGGAATGGGAAAAAGCGGACTTGTCTCACGGAATATACACAGAGCATCAGACCTTTGGCATTTCTTTAAAAGATGAATACTCTCTAAATTAGCACTATTGGGTAGAACTTTCCATGCTGGACATATTTCCTATTTGAACTGCCTATGTATGGGGTGGGCAAAATTAGCTTTACATTTGTAATACAAATAAATAATACAATCTCTATATATAAAAGCCTAATATGCAAAGTGTCCCCTTAGGAGTTCAACCCGGAGACCAAGAGTTCGATCGCTCGCTATGATGTGCACTGACCACCAGAGGGTGGCGCAGAATGAAGGAAGGCCCCAGCCAGCAGCTGGAAAGCCCCAATTGGCTCTGATTGTCAGCCAGGCCTACGGACCCTACCCAGGCACAAATTTCATGCACCAGGCCTCTAGTTTTACATAAGCTACTTGGGGTTTTCTGTCCTTTGTAGTATGTGCACACACACACACATACATGTACACATTAATGCAAAGAAAAATCTAAAATTAATTTGAAATTCTTATGCTCTTTGGATTCTTTCAAAATCAGTTGTGGTTTTTAATAGGTAATCATCAATATAACACAAAATAATTAGATTGTACACTTGATTTCACTATTAAATAGTAATATTCAATGACCTCAGCCTCACAAAATGTAATTCTCACATATGATGAGTATATTGTTCCATTGCCACAGGTTCTTATTAGAATCACTACTGTGTCATGCTAGAATAGACCTTCCCAGAAATTGCTTTCATTAAATTACTTTCTCACTTATTTTAAAGATGTATATACATGTGGAAAACAATGGTCTTGGAATACAGTAAACAAATATTTACTCAAGTATTGTCATTCTGCATAATGTTGTACACAGTCTTTTTTTGGAGACTAAATTCTTGTTTTTGATTGTATGTCTTTTCATATACACATTTCTACTTTAACCCAGCACTGCATATTCATATAGAAGTTGTTTAGGTATTGTAGACATTCAAATTTTAAGAACTACATGTTCACAGAACTACAAAGGAAGAAGAACTCCTAAATGTTCTTTGATCCTACATCAACTCTATCCTTTGCAGTCTTATGTCTTAATTAGGAAATATTAATTCAGTAAACATGGGCCAGCAAGCGTGCTGAACCAGAGATCATGACAGACCCAGAAATTATGACTCTCTTTAGACAATCAGAATATTTACTTACCAATCCCATAATATGACCCTATTAGACCATGATTCACATATAAAACTTAGGTATGAATTGATTGCCAGAGCAATCAAGATTGTGTCTCTTATCACTATACAATAAAACGTAGCCTTGTGTGGCCCTAAGTCTTAGCAGTTCTTTTCGTTCTGCTTCAGGCAAAGTAAGATAAGCTTATCTTTATCATGAATCAGTCTCCATCAGAAGACCACATGGCTGCAGCAGCAGATAGCTGAGGAATGAGAGTAAAGGACTGGAATAGAGGGATACTACTATGTCCAGAATAATTTCTTCCTTTTTTTATCCTCACCTTTTCATTGAGGACATTTTCATTGTTTTTTTAAAAATCTTTATTGTTGAAAGTACTACATATGTCCCCTTTTACCCCCCATTGACCCCTTCTCCCGCCCCCACCCCTACCCCTGGCCTTCACTACTCTATTGCCTGTGTCCATGGGCTATGCATATATGCATACAAGTTCTTTGGACATTCTATTCTCATCCCCAATCCGCACAACGAGAGAGAGAGAGAGTGAGACAGAGAGAGACAGAGAGAGACAGAGAGAGAGAGAGAGAATGTAGAGAGAAACACTGATTGGTTGCCTCTGAGGATCGAACCTGCAGCGCAGGTATGTATCCTGATTGGGAATCAAACCTGTGACCTTTCTGTGTAAGGGGCGATGTTCCTACCAACGGAACCACACCAGCCAGAGCTGTCCATAATAATTTCTACCAGCACATCTCCATAATTCAAAATCCAGTCCAGGGAGAACATCCTTAGAAACTTGTGGCATGGGTAGTAGTCTTGTTGTTGAGGAACACAGGGGGCTATTATATCATGGCTGTATGAATCTCTTGCACTTTAACCCAATATACAACTGTGTGGCCACAGTGACCCATGTCTGATAATTACGCAGGTATAAAATGTCACCATCCCCAGGAGAGTTCAGGCAAATTAATGATTACCAATCTGAAAATATCCATATCACTTTCCTTTGTTTCCCTGTTACATTTTGTATTGTGGCCTCCATAAGACCTCTAGCATTATTTTTTCTGTAATTTGTTCCTATGCTGTGACTCTGAGGCAGGTTGCCTCTTCCTACTTATAAACAACACATTTCTCACCAGGGATTCTCTTTTGCCTCAGAACAGCTCACATCAGAGCAAATTCCTATTGAACCACCTAAGATGTCAGAAAGACCCTTTCTTATCCTGTTGATGTGTATAATTTTCTTTTTACACACAAAGCCCCCCGGGAAAATCTGTAGACTTAAATATCATAGGTGCATCAAGCCCAGGACCCTATTAGCCCTTCTATGAGAATAATATATAGGAAAGCAGCAATTGTTCCAAATACTACAGAAAGGCAAGAACTGACTTCATTTCTGAACAGCTGTGTGCTTTACAATACAACTGTCTTTATTTTATTTTCTTAAAGTCTATCTGTTTTATTAGACTTGAAATTGTGATTTATTGTTTTAAACCATTGAATGAGAGCTTCTTGTGCACAGAGTTCTGTCAGATTTTACAAGTGTGGCAGAATCATGGCAAATGATGTCTCTCTCCTTCACACACACAGCCTCTGGGCCACTTGAAGACTGGCTGGGCGGGGCGGGGCTGGGCTGGGCCTGTTTCCAGGCAGCTCAAGTGGTATTGCACCAAGGGCTGCTGCAGGAGCTTCATCAGTTGCTTAGCAACCCAGTCCTCAGCCACAGCATTTTTCTTAATGAAGGTTTTTCACAATTCTCTGTGTGATTACCTTAACTGAATACCAAGATGCTTATCTGACAGAACTCTGAATTACCAGCTTCTTCCTCCAGATTATGTACAATTTTGCAGCAAAACAACGTTGTACAATTCTGCTGGCAGTCTCTTCACATTTCACTTTCTATGGTAACTGCTGGCTGATTTGGTGGCACTTCCAAACACTACTCTTCCAGCTGTGGTTTTATAAATAAGATTCACTTAATAAGCATAATATGGTTTAAAAGACATGTTAGGTCATCTCTCAGGAACACTGATGTAAGTTCTGTGCTGCCGAGTTCATAGTTCTATGATCCATTAAGTCTCTCTCTCTCTCTCTCTAATATAGAGCGGAAAACACCTTTGAGAGGTTGTCACCTTACTTAAAAGACATGTCAGAATGAACTTGGAACTTTATTATTTCTCAGAGTTTACTAAAAGAGATGAGAGAAGAAACAGGAACTAGATGTGGTTGACTCTTTGGAGGGTCTCCTACATGCCACTTGTGAAATAGCCCAGATAATGTTTTAAATATCTTTCATGGAAATCTGAATAGTTGTTTGTCAAAACTGAATAATATTACTACTATTTCATTTATAATGAATTGCCTAGACAATTCAAACTTTCACAGCACCATAAAGATGCTGCACAAAGGCTTTTCCAAATATTAGCATGTTTAACTGCATTAGCATATAATTATTAGAAGAATAATTTGAAAATTTTCAAAATAAAATGTGTACCTTGGATCTTTCACAAATACTACCAATAGGCCTGTAAAAGTATTTACAAACTTATAAAATAAAAGTTACAAGGCATTAATAAAATAATTTAATTCTCAATTCATAAATTTTTATTTTCTCTTTCTTTTATAAAGATTCATACTAGAAGAAGGTAGTATATAAACCTGTCCTTTCTCTTCCTAAACACACACACATACGACATAACACAAATACACAAAACCAAACCAAAAACAAAGTCATTGAATCTGAATTGCCCTCTCTTTAACAACTGTCCTGCTACTTTTTGTCAAATTCTAGGGCACTTCCAACTTCTTGGGAGCATAGGGAGAAGCCTTCCAAATATGTAGTGATTTCTCAAAAATCACAGGTATGCATTTGGGGTTGAGTGGACTTCATCATTTGCTATACTGTGATTGGTTCATTCTGAATGAAATATAATTTCCAAAAATTCTAATTCTATACATAAGTGCCATTGTATTGGTTTTCAATTATATGAATGAACATTTATAAAAATGGAAACTGCCACAGTTTCTATGTTTTATCTGCAAGCCCTTTAAGGACTGGTGATGGCAGAATCAAATCAAAAGTACATAAAAAGTATGGTGGCTATCTAGTTTTGTATCAAAACCACTCAGGGAGCTGTTAAAAGTATAGATGCCATTGCCCAAATCACTCAGAAAACCTGATTGGTTTTTCAGGGTGGGGGTCCTTGCACTTCCATTTTTTAATAAGTCCCTCAGTGAGTCTGCTTGCAGAAGGCCATTGTAACAGGGCTCCCTCAAGTTCCAACAAGTCAATTGATGGTGAAGATAGAAATGTCTGTGTTTAAATGGGTGGTGACATCATCTCCTGATACTGTACCTGGGTGGTGGCTGTTGAAGTAGTACTGCTTCTTGATCCCCACATTTGCTGAAACTGTACCCTGATTTCTGCAAACGTTTCAATGATGACAGCAATAAACACATTCTGAAAGAAAATTACAAGCCACATTTACCAAATGGTAATGAGAATGAGAGAGGGCAATCACAATCTAAAACAAAAGGTCTACAGAAGCTGTCAGAAAGCACAGATTTTATTGTTAGAAATCACAGGCGAAGTTTTACAGTACCTTCACTAGCCACGCAAGGAAGAATATGAGAGTGATGAAATAGAAGTAGGAACGCCAGCGGGGAAAGCTGTCAATTGCTCTGTACATGAGGAATACCCAGCCCTCCTGGGAGGCGGCCTCGTAGACTGTGAAGATACTGGTGCCTAGCAAGAGAGAGGAGACCAGGCTGAATTGTGGTGGACTTTTGATATAAAAAATCATTTTCCAGAAGCGCAATCGATACTGATACATTATCATTTTCTCAATGACCTTCTAAAAGGCTAAAATAACATGCAAGATTTTATTGTTCTTATTCTTAGGATTTTAATAAAGTTGTTTCAGACTTCAAGCTAGGGCAATTTAATAGCTCTAGCAATAAAATAACTTTATGTTATATCTTTATCTGGTAAGTGCATTTAATAATGGCGAAAGGAAGTGAACATTTAAGCTAAGTAGTGATATAATAAAAAGGAATGTGTATCATGTAAGCATGCCACTTGGGGCTTAAGACCTGCAGAGTGCTAAAGGGTACGTGCTATAGTTTTAACCAAAATGAAATAAACCTGGGAACTGGGTTTCACTTGAAATCACTTTCTCATTGGGAGACTAAAGTATCGTAGGCTCCAAAAATTAAAATGTTGGAGCCTGTCTTTGGATTCCATGGTGTTTACTAAATATCAAAATGTAAGGTATTAAATCATCAAATAGTACTTTGTATTTTCTGAGAGAATTGTCTCATTAAAAATACCACTGATAATGGAAAGAAAGAGAATGAACAATAAATATGTGGGCAGATTTTTGAACATATGGTTAAGAGAACCTAAAATGCCATGCAGAGGAAAGACAGTGTTTAATTCTCACATTAGGAAGTTGGTGTTATCATTTCACCATTTTACATATGGGAAAACTACAGCACAAAAAGGGTAAGTGATTTGACTAAGGATGTACAGATAATAATAGGTGAATAAGAATTAACCCGGTCTTTCTGAAAAAGGGGTGTGCATGTTTAACTGTGATGATATCCTGCCTCTGGACATCTTTTCTATGGCTTAATTTTCCCATCTGTAAAATGGGGGGAAAATAACACATACCTCAAGTGTTGTGAAGAGTAAATGATTTCATTTCTTTAAAGGGTTGGCATATGGTGTATACTTAATATGATTTAGTACTACCTATATATATATAAAAAGCCAGAGACTGTAACGCCATCACAACCATAATGACCTAATGACTGGTTGCTATGACACCCACTGCGGCCAGTGAACCAGCCTGATCCAGGGCGATTGCCCCCAGCACTCCAATCAGGGCGGCCAGGCTCCGATCAATCAGTGACAGTGGCAAATGGCAAGCGGGTGGAAGGCAGACCTCTTGGTCCCTCCCCCTGGCCTGCAGGCTCCAATCGATCAGTGTCAGTAGTGGGGTGGAACTGGGGACTGGCAAACGGGCAGAACATGGCCCTGATCACAGGCTAGGCCGAGGGACCCTAACCACGCATGATTTTGTGCACTGGGCCTCTGGTTATTATTATAAAAATTGAAGATAATTGCTAAATATTATTTTGTGAGAAAACAGAAATAATAATAATGAATTAAAGTTGTTTATAAGACAAATATGATACATGTCATTCATAAAACTGAAAATATTGGCACCACAATAAATTCCACTATATAAATTTATCAGTTAATCATAGTATATAAAACTAATATCCACTTATGCATGCTCTAACGACACAGAAATTTAAAGTCAGAATATGCATCTGATTAGATGTCCAAAGTAAGATGTAGGTTACTGAAGTTGGCTGAGAACTGACTGTCCCTTTGGGCCTGTGCATGCAGAAAGAATAATCAGACATCACTGAATACCAACACATGCAGAATAGCAGAAAAGTCTAGCAGTAAATGGGAACTAAACAGACTTGAAAGGAAAGCTGAGAGAGAGAATGAAAGCATAACCTATTTAGAAAATGTTTGTCATGCACTGATCTGTACTAAGTAACTTTGTATAAAATATAGTTTCATATATGTAGTGCTTCTCACTTTAAGAATATTTTGTACATTGATCATCTTTGCCATAACAACTAGAATTTGTAAAACACGTTTAGCTTCAAGACTCTTTTATATACTTAAATGCTCATCTCTAATTAGGTAGGTAAGTAGGTGGGTAAAAGGGCAGATACTATCAATCACATTTTATAGAAAAGAAAAGTGAAGGTCACTAGAGTTAATTAATTTGTCCAAGGTAAAAAGTGATAGACCCAGATATTGAACCCATGTCAACAAGTCCAGGTCTGAAACTATTTTTCTTTATAATGTTACCTAAATTTTCTCCTGCTTGACACTGAGACTTCAAAAATTGCATATTTTCTTTTATTAGCTTTAATTTGAATAAAGTTCATTTTTTTCTGAGGGTCTATGGTGACTAAATTTATAGTATATTTAGGAGCTCATGCAAGAAGATGACTTTTAAGAGAAAGATTTAGAGAAGAACAACATGTACAAAAAATAAATGTCAACAGGAAAGAGAAGTGACTGTTTCCATTAATAATTCAGATATACTAAACACGTACAACATTTTTGCTCTTATGGATTGAATATGAAGGGCAATTTTAACCTAAAACAAGAAATTTATATCCCTTATTTTCTTCTAGTTATTTGAACTAAAATGGGAATGTGGCAACAGAAATTCATTATGAATTACCACTAAATGTGTTTTTAAAAACACATTTTTATTGATTTCAGAGAGGAAGGGAGAGAAAGAGAGAGAGATAGAAACCTCAATGATGAGAGAGAATCATTGATCAGCTGCCTTCTGCACTGGGGATGGAGCCCACAATCCAGGCATGTCCCCTGACCAGGAATTGAACTATGACCTTCTGGTTCATAGGTTGATGCTCAATCACAGAGCCATGCTGGCAGGGCACCATTAAAGTTTAATAGCTTTAGGAATTGAGCATTTACAGATAAAATAAGTGGCTTGTCAATAAAAGGTTAAATTGGAGAGGAATACTGAAATTATTCTTCCTCTACTTGCCCAGTCCTTTATTACATCTACAAGGAAGATGCTACTTGTAAATAAGTAAAAAATAGTATTTCTAATATTGAAGCTTTTATTCCGTTTTTCCCCCAAGTTGACACAGAAAAAGTGGAAGAAATAGGAATGCATAGTGAGGCTCAAAGTATAGGGTTTGTTGCCCTAACTGGTTTGGCTCAGTGGATAGAGCATTGGCCTGCGGACTGAAAGTTCCCAGGTTTGATTCCGGTCAAGGGCATGTACCTTGGCTGTGGGTACATCCCCAGTAGGAGGTGTGCAGGAGGCAGCTGATTGATGTTTCTCTCTCATCGATGTTTCTAACTCTCTATCCCTCTCCCTTCCTCTCTGTAAAACATCAATAAAATATATTTAAAAAAAAAGAATAGGGTTTGTTGATACAAAGAGATGAGATTTTATAAAAATGTAACCCAAAATCTCCTGTTGAAGAAAATGCTGACTGTTGAAGAAAATGCTGACGGTTGAAGAAAGTGTTTCCCATATATATGAACCACACTGGGTCAAAGGCTTTGAAGATTTTACTGAGTTGCAGCAAAGGCAATTGAGTAAGGCAGTCTTTCTTCATCATTTTTCTACTCCTGACTTTGCAAAGTGTATGAAAAGGAAATCAATTTTGAAAAGACTTTCCAATTGTTGAGCAATATTTAAACTGACAAAATTCAAATGTATGATAGTCCTATTTTCTTTGAGAGTAGACAACCTGAGGAAGAAACTAGCTGCTCAAACTTATTTTGCACATCCTGTTATCTCTGTCTGCCCTCCCACCCCCATTCCCCACCCTGTCCTCCTAGTCGACTACTCTGTGGCTATCCAGCCCAGCTCACCTCATCTGCTTGCAATCTACACTAGTGCCTGTTCTCAGTCCTCCTGGAGACCCCTGAGATCACCTGTATCATGTCACTTATCACACTGACTTGTTAATATGTCCTCCTTCCTCACTAGGTATGAGCACAGTAAGTTAAAACTGTATCTTTCACTTCTAGACTGGCATTGAGAAGCACTGAGTTGACAAATTAAATAATTATCATACAATTAAAACAAATATTTCTCAAATATTTGCTTTTTTAATAAATTCTTTCTCACCATGAATATTGCTCAAATATGTATTTGCGGGAAAAGAATGTTATTTTATAACTGACTATGTTTTGCTGATTTCCAAATTTGCTTAAAACACATACACATATATAAACTTAAAAGTCTATGCTACATATAAACAGCAAAGTCTTCCTCTACTGTTTGATCTATCATTGGAAATTTCTAGAAAATATTACATTAATACATACAAAATATTTTTCTACATACAGTACAGAACACTTTTAGTTCATCTTAATTATGGTATGAGCTGAAGAGAACACATTTTTTTGTTAAATGATTGATTCTACAATATTGCTTAGGAATAGAAATGCATTCTCTCACTGGAGAACAATGAAGCCTGCTCCAAAAATATATTTAGGAAGCTCCTATAGCAGCACAATTTTCTTAGACCCCCCCAAACTCTGAAAGCACAAATTCAACTTGTATAAGAAGCAACATCACCACATTGATATTTAGCTCATCAATTCCCCTAATTTCATTTGTTCTTCCTTTGATGGTCTGAATTATTTAGATAAGAAAACCCACAAGCCTACATTTAAAAAATAAATATTCACCTTGGAACTTTCTACAGACTGCATGGATTGCGACATAGTAGAGGACTTTTTTTATAGTTCTGAAGAAAATTATAGCCCCATATATTTTGTCTAGGATTATATCTTCTGATTCTTTCTTCCATGAAAAAGGTGAAAAATTGACTGTGTCCTGGGAATATTCCCTATTATTTCTCCTAGTCACGGGTTACATAAGATCACTGAGCCATTCAAATTTCAAATGACCGGGCCACAAAAATGGTGGTTGGTGATAACTAATAAGCTATTAGCCTGAGGTTCCCCCATTAAACTCCTCTCCAAACACAAAATATCTGCAGTGTTATTCTAATGATGGTAATGTCTGATCTGTTGTGGAAGAACCTGAGAAGTTAGAATTAGTGATGAAGCCTTGATTTAGTGCAATAAGAATGAGTAAGTACACCAGGCCCTCATCTGAACACTAAGATTAACCCCACATTCAGAATTCCCAA